GTATAAGACACACAAACACCCACACACACACACTGATTGGCGTACATGAACATACGCGCTGCACTGTATTATGCCTGATAAGACTTTAGCTCATATTAATTAAGTTTCAGTTATGAATATGTGTATCAGTGTGCGTGTGTGCGTGTAAGCTGCCATTGAAACTGCGTGCTGAGCCTATGGCCTTTGTCTGAGAGTTTATTAATGAGTTTTACATATTTGATGACCTACAAAACGAGGCGCTTTAATATGCATGGCCCCATACAGCTGCCAACAACTTTTGGAGCCTCGCTCGCATATTTGATGATGGCCAACTTGCAAATTACTTAATCAGATTTTATAGACAGCTTTTGCCGTTAAGTTTCTGCCAAAGTCTGCCGAGTATATCTATAGATCTTACATATATATATACATACTCTGTATATATAGGTATATATATAGGTATATATTTCTCGGCTCAGTTGCCAGCGCTTGAGGTGCTGGCTAAGACTTTAAGCCATTAAGCTTTGGGGCCAGTATCATTAGCACAAGCGAGCTCCTTTATCACAGCTAACCAACTGTCTGTGTGTGTGTGTGTGTCTGCTGGCTGTTTGATATGTGGGTCTGCACGTTTTTGGCAATTAAAAGCATATGCGGGCCGGCCTGCCTCATCAGGCTAATCAACGAGCGGCCAAGCCAACAACAATTTACTGGCAAATAAAACAAAGCCAAGTTAGCAAGACGCATGGGGCGGAGGCTGTCAGAACTGAAGCGTCAAGGCGGCTGCCAAAGCGAAGCGCACGAAGACGCCGACGAATTTGACGGCGCGGTGCGATGCTCCTAACTTATGCAGAGTGCCACTAATACAGGCAAAGAAACGTATACACACACACACACACACACACACACACACACACACACACGAACGCACGCACACAGTCAAATACACACGCGCTGCAGCAGACTCCTTTTTGCCTACATTTCTTAGTATTTATTTAGGGTTTCTTTTTTGTTGTGCGTATGTGTGTGAGTGTGTGTGTGTTTGTGCGTATATGCCAAGCGTACACGTTTAAAATTTTCTTGGCTATTTTTTTTTACACTTTTACATTTTTAATAATATTTATGTATATATTCACATCTCTTTAGTATAAGTATTAAATTGAAATACAAATCATAATATATCTATAAATTTTTCTTATCTTATGTGTAAAAGTAAGTGTATATCGTAGATCTACATATTAAAATAGTCTCAATATTTTAAAGAGTTCTTTGTAATCAAAATAAGCATTTATGATTTTTATGAATTCAGTTTACGGCCAGCAATAAGGACATTTAAGGAGTCGAATTCAATGCTGAGGTTGACTTTTCACTGCGCACTGTTTGATTTTTAATAAGCATAAATTTTTGGTATGAAGCTTCAGTACGTTCCGTACACCCAAGCGAATCACGTATACGCTCTCATTCACACAAACACTCTCGCACACACACACACTCACAAACATTCGCGCACACACACGCAAATTGATTGAGTTTGCCGTTGTCATTTGTTGCTGTGGCTGGCCAAATTTATGAAAATGAAATGCCAAAGCTTTTGCGCCTCGCACGTGTGTGCGTGTATGTATATAACTGCCGTTGTGTGTACGTGTGTGTGTGTGTGTGTGTGTGCGACAGCGTTAAATTAATGAAACACATGCAGGCAGCAAACGTTGGGTAATTTGTCATTTCGACAAATTTTGAATTATTTAAGCGGAAATCTTAGCGCCCCAAGAAACCAAACAGGGAAAACAGAAAGAGAGCAGAAAATGCTCAACTGATTTGTGATTGTGACTCGTGACGCGTCACAGTGATTGTCGTTGTGATTGTGATGGATATGGATGACAATTTAGCAATTTGAATGATTTAAAATCTTACGTTTACCCTTATTTTGCTATCATTTTATTTTCTTTTATTTTGAAGCTTGAATATTTCTTAGACAAACATAAATAATTTGATAACGTTGCAAAATTTCTGGATAAAAGATTCAATAATTTTGAAGGTATTATATTATGTAGTTGCTTTTTGACTTCTGATCATAACTGGAAAGCTCATCCGTATGAAGCGTTGCTTTTTGGTAAGATGACAGATTCACACATTTATCTTTGTTAGTCTCATTCACGCCATTAGCAATTTTACAGTTGGGATATTTATCATCATAGATTATAAAATATTACTACTACTACATTGAGCTATAAGAGTCTGTATAAAATATATACCTCTCGGTCTCAGAACCTAACATGAGTATACCAATTAAATGAGCACAGTTGGTAAGGATTGTGAGCGAATCTATGATCCACTCTTTGTCTGACTTGAATGACTTTACTTACACATAGCTGCATGAGTATGTGTTATAGAATCGAGCAAAATCTATATTATTCTTATAGTTATAGCAATCTATAAATATTGCTTTAAGCTGACTTTTACTTAGTTTTTCCGACCAATGCAGGATTTCGAGTGAATTATTTACTTTTGGGTTTAGCCATATATGTATATATTTATTGTACTAAATCTTGTTGTTGTTCCCGTATGTAATTGTTTGCAATTGTGAGAGCAGACAAATGGCACACACGCACAGCCACAAAGTACGTAATTTGTTGCTGGCAGCAGAACACAGAAAATGACAAATACAAAGACATAGACATTTGGGACTGACTGGGGCGCACACGTTGCGTATGCTTTATATTGCGTATACGACAGGCTTGACACCGTGCTGGAAGCTCGGTGGCTAAATTGCGCACTGTCGCATATTTTCCCAGCAAACACACACACACATACATACACTTACACACAGATGTAGATTGAGCTAAAAATAAATCGTAAATAAATAATTTGCACTGCGTCATGTCAGAAGTTTTAAACACATAATTAACAGCTTATTTAACCCCGTTGTGCCAGCGTGCCAGTGTGAGTGTGCCGTTGTGTCTCTGTGTGTGTGTGTGTATGCTTGCTCATGGGTGGGGCTGTTGCAAATTCATATATAGATATATATGTATATATAAAATGAAAAAAAAAAAAAAAAGTTTTCTATGCTTGGGGCGCTAGCAGCTACAATCGTGGCCTGCACCAACACAATGCCAAAGCCCAGCGCTGGGGCCAGCCGGGGCAATGATGACAACGACAACGACAACAATGTTCGAAACAAAAGCGAAACAACAACAACAACAACAATAACGACAACATAACTACTTTGGCAATGGTTATGGAGCAACAGAGGAATTGCCTTGTCACACATAGACACACACACATATACATTTATAAATGTATATATAAATTTTGTGAACAACAGGCGCGAGAAGCTGCGCTGGAGCATTTCTGCCACTCGCAGCAAACAGTGGCTGCCAAAAGCACAACAAACAACAGAAATGATAGACAAATCATTTTGACTAATACGGAGCGTAAAGGCGCTTAAATTTATGTGCCAAGTTTATATTTTAATAAAAATATGCTTTAGTTAAGAACATACGAACTCCCAGGCTATGAATTCCATGCTAGTCAGAGCGGCTTCAAATAATTCATTCAGAATAATTTGTTAGGTTAGGTTAGATTGTGAGATTTCGCTTAGTAGAAGAATCTTTCAATTGGTCAAGATTCTTATTACGTTTCTTGCATAATTATAAGAGATGACTTTTATTGTGTCTCTATCTCTCTCTTTCTCTTACATTTTATGTCTTCGTCTGGATGTCTATGACTCTGTAGATTTCTTTCTCTATCTCTAACTGACTTGCTATCTTCCTCTCGCTCTCAGCTTATCTCTTTACTTTTTTCAAGATGTCTCTCCTCTTTCTCTGTCTCTCTCTCAAAGAAAAGCAAGGAAAACATAATGGGAGAAGGAATATGAAATGTATAGATCGACATATAGATCTCTACCTTTCCCATTCCTTCTCCCATTATGTTTTCCTTGCTTTTCTTTGTGCCCTCTCCGTTTCCTTATTTTCTGTTATTCTCTCTCTATTTCTCTCGTTCTCTAGTTCTATGCAGTCTTCCATTTCTCATTCTCTTTATCTCTCTCTTTGAACCCTCTTATTCGATCAAGTCTTCTCTTTATATCTCCATCAACCTCTACTTTCTCGATCTCAATCTGTGCTTTAAATTATAACGATTTCCATACAGTCCTCACATAAATTATAGCTAATAGCGAGTTTAGTGATGTTCCACTGTACATGGCGCACAGCCAGCATGTAATTCTGTGCTGCTGTCTTCCTAGCATGATATGTAGGCGTTAGGAGGGCGTGTCTGTGCCCACCTACATAACCAGCATGTGTTGTGCCATCTCTTAATGTGCCATACACTCAACGCCAATACCAAGAGCACCACCACACCGCACCACTTACAACTCACCACTCATCAGCAGAAGCATCAGCTCAGGCATCAGGAGCAGCAGCAGCGGCGGCAGTTGTCTGATGGCTGTAGGCGTGGCAGGGACATGAGCCCAAACGCCAAACACTGGACAAATGTGCAATGTGCAATGCGAGGGCGACAGCAGCAGCAGCAGCAGCAGCAAGAGAGAAAAAACACGACTAAAATATAGGCGAGCATTTGAAATGAAGCGCAAATGAAAGAAAAAAACAAAAAAAAAAAAAAAAAATGGAAAGCGAAAAAAAAACATAGAAAGGAAAATGAAGCGGCAAAAAGAAAATCATTTATTTCAGTTGACACATTTTCCTTTTGGCGCTGCCATCCGCTGACCCGTTCAGCGAGCAATTTCAATGCGAGACATAAACACAGCAACAATATGAATAGAGGATGAGAGCAAGCACAATGTGGTGGGGAGGCAGTGAGGAAGGCGTGGCAGGTAGCTAAAGCGGGAGTCAGTGTATTGGGGATTTGGAGTAGCGTTGGGGAGCTATAGAAAAGAGCAGGAAGTGCAAATGTTTC